CATAACAGGAACATGAGAACCTTCTATGCGTACATCAGCGCCGTGTATAGTACATACACAACCATATAAGGACAAATCCTTCTTGCTTACTCATAGATATCAAAACTCCTTGGTGTTGCAGGTTTGTCCAGTGGACCTGGAGCAGCAGAGAAATCGGACGCAATAGGAGAGCTAGCACGTCTTCCATCAGCAGAGGCTGCACATTGCGCTCCCCATCCAACATACCCTTCAAACGTCCCTGATCCTGTAGACAGAATTAAATTCCAAGGTGCACCCGGCAACGAGTACTTTTTCTTTAAGCCAGCAATCAGGTCTTTCAGCGGTTGTCCATCAGGGCCATCATAGGCAACTTTATCAATGACAGTTGATACTTTATCTGCTAGCCATCTGGTAAACATAGAAATAAGATGATCTCAAAGCTTTAGGTGGATGTGAATTTGACACATTTGGAAACTCATACTGCATGCTGTTAGCTACTACTTTTATATATTGCTGTATTTTCTATACTTACCCCGCAATAGCTTGGATATCTTTATTGTTTGCACCTTCACTTGTTCCAAACTTTGGGAAGCTGAGAGCCCTTTGTCGTATTTCCTTATATGAGTAAGACAAGACATCTGCACGTGTTGCCCCACCAACTTGGCTGTGAAATGGTTCCTGTATGTTGTATCCCCAGTCGCATTTTAAGCATGTGACCAAATCTTTTAAGGACACCGTTGATGTTTGACTAGAAAAGCAAAGCTTTTTGATTGCATACAATGCATCCACAGTGTTTGAGAAAGAGATGAACTGGACACCAATCAACGTATGGTTTGCACCTCCATTGTACATGTCTCTTTTTGTTTCCAGGCACCCTCGGATGAGGGAGGACAACAAGGGACTGGGGCAGAACTCAACTACATTTCCATAGTTAACAAGTAGTAGAAATAGGTTATACTCTGTACGGACCTTGAGATGCAAGCTGAATATTTCCAGTAGCTTTTAAGACACAAAAAGTTAATTGTTTGAATTGAAACTCAGCTAAGCATAAATCTAGACTCTAGTTTTTCTGTTTGAACCACTATATATATCCTGGGCCTCCTGGACTTAAATAATGCGTGATACATTAAGTCATTAAGTCACATTAATTTAGTGAGAATTCCAGATATTACAAATGGATCAGTTTATAAAAGAAAATATAGCGTTTATTAGGATGCAGTTTTTTTACACAATAAGGGACAATCGACAAACGCCATGTTTGCATACATATTATCATTTTATCGACTCTTATTCCCATCTCTTATTGACAAAAATTGCTTGTACGCTTAAAGAGTAATGTTTTATAAGCAAGTTCACCCAAATTTAAGTTGATTTATTTTACAAACCTGATCAAAGGTGTTAATGTTCTCTGGATGTTGTGAAGGCAATGACTGGGGTGTTCCTTCTGGATATCGAGGACCAGCAGTGAGAAAAGTTGAGCCGTGATTGATGCTCATTTCTAACACCTGCAGTAGCACCACGTAAGCCAGAGAAAAGTCTGTCTCACCAGGGAAAATAGGCTCGTAGCAGCCATCACAAGCAAAGTTACGTACGGTCTTCAAACTGACTGGATTGCTTGGTGCTTCATTTCTTGTGCGAAGAAGACTTTCGACCAGCCTTTCATCGTTGAGAAAAATGGGATGTGCCCCACCACTAAGGATTGCTTTAGATGCTTCCTCAAGAACCTGTTAACAAAGAATTGCCGATGCATAATAAATATAAAAAAATGGTAGGATAAACTTGAACAAAACTAGCGATATCAACATTTTGACACTACATTTTTTCTAGCCAATATTTTAATATTTAAAAATCAATGTGATGTTGCAAGCGACAGATTTATTGAATGTCCCACCCGTAATCTGGCCATGTTTTCTGTCCCTTCATATATTTTCCATTCTGTTTCATTATTGTTTCTTTTTTCTTTCTTTTTTTCTTTTCTTTTTTTTTTCTCCTTCATTCGATAACGTGGTAAAATTCAATAAAAAAAATAAGAAGATATTGCACCTATACTTTACTTATTATCTCTTGCTCGCGATCTTTTTATCGTGTCTTTGTCTTCGATAAAAAACGTTTACCTGTTGGGGTGTGTCTTTATTCAATCTCAAAGACAGGCAAGGAGCATTTAGGGGGAGTCGTCTAGATGCCTTTAGGCACATTAAGGTGATTTCATTGCATCCATCCTCAGCGATACTCGCTTCGTTTGCCTTGTATCCACCAACCGTGATCTAAAGNTATCTTACTTGTTATAATGTTCCCCCCAATGTTTTTGCTATCGGCATATCTCTTCAATAATGTCACCAAGTCATCTTCTTTGAAGTTTTCAGCTATTTTCAGATCCACTTCGGCACCATTGGGAAAGCCAAAGTGGATGGAATCCATATCCCAGCTTTTGAGGGATCTGATGTAAGATTAGGTGATAGATCAGAGGAAAAATAAATAAATCAAACAACTAATCAAAAGCCTATGTAAATTTATAATAAACAGCAAGCCAGTTAGAAATATGACTGTCGAAAAAGAKGGGAAATAATAATCAAAGAACATGAGCAATCAATAAATTGCGAGCCTTAATGGCTGTTACACACTGACGATTTGCGGTGATTTTCAATGCAATTTTTCGGACGGTTTTAAAAGTTATAATAGGGGTTGACTAATCCTTCTGAAGATACTTTTAGTTGGCTTGTTTACAAGTGAATTCATTAAAATTATACTCTAGAATCAAAATAATGGCAGAAATTTTGCACTACGCCAGAGTGAATCTGCCCGTAATAAGTCTTAGGTACTTTTTTGAATTTCACGTATAATCGTTATAAAGCCTAATTTGTTTTAACTGCAATTAGCAAATAAACTCTAAGCACTTTCGATATGTCGAGAGCTGCTGCATTGCCATGATCTGCAAGGGGGCTAAAGTAATGTGCAATATATGGGTCTGGTTTTAGACTGGTCTTTATCTTTAATTCGAAGCTGAAAACTAAGCCTGTCATACGACTTCAACATTTGGATATTTAATATGTCTCNTGATATAGTCCAAACATTCGCGTTTCAATGAATGCACTTCAAAATATCAAAATATGAAAAGTTTATTGGGAAATCACATACAAGGTTTACAGGGAATTTGTCTAACAATGCAAGGCAATAATGCCATATAAATCGCTGCAGGATCCCTGTGATTATCCAGTGATTGGTCACAGCAATAATGATAAAAATATAAAAACACAGATCATGTGAATACGTGGACTTCCAGGAATTTACACTGGGAGATCTTACAAGATGACACTGAAAAAAATCAAACAACCAAAACGAAACGAAAACATAACGAAGACAAAAATACAGCGCAACAGCATGGGGTTTTATCTGTTCTCTCCAGAAAGTAATCCCATAATGCATTGCAAATCAATTTTATGACGTAAAAACCTTTGTCTATAAAGAATGAAAATCAAATATGTTGTCCATACCAGTGACGAAACATTTTGGTAATTCAAAGATTAATTGATTTTTTAAGACATGACATAACATAACATGTCCAGCAATCCACATAGTAGACCCATAGAAAAACTTGACTGACATGCTTATATACTTCAGTGTATCAAAGCATTTTTTGAAAAAAAATTTGAGGCCTAGCCGACATTTCGTAATTAACTTGAAAAGAAGTGCTTTGCATGCTAGCCATGATCAAATACGAGTCATACTTTTTAATCAAATTTTCAAATTAGTGTGTAATTATTGGGAATAGAAAAATAATGGACATTTCTTTCTTACTCTTTTTAGACAAGAGCAGTAGATATGCAACTGATGTTAGTATGTAAGTATCAAAAATGATTAAAAAAAAGTGCACATGACGCGTTTATTCTACAATTTAAAAAATGATTTGCTTGATATATTTTCTGATCTAAAAAGGTTTTAAATTTGACGGAAATGCAAATGAAGTGACGTCAACTAAGGAATCATTTTGCATAGGAATTACCACCGTTCGAGAAGAATTAATACCACGCATACCTACATAAGATATTGGATTCTATCGCATATAGGGGCAGTACATGATAGCGAAAACACATCGCGCGTAGATCATTCGCAAAGACCTCTGGGTTAGATTCATGCAATTAATTAATTAGCACGTGTGGTATTAATTAATTGCTTGAATTAAGAAAAGATTCACGTTTCGTCAGCCAATCACAATCGATAATTTTATGTAGGTWTGACATTAATGTGAAAATTAGCGAAATAAGACATTATTGCTTATTTACATTAAAATTAGATAGATAATTAGACCACTTTGACAAAATACAAGCACCGTAAGCAGTAAAGAAAGCCTATCCCAATCCTTTAGTTTACTCACCTTCAAAGAACTGCTTACTAGCAGTATGGTCTTTTTCAGATGGTCAAGAATAACCTTCTAAAGCGCCATTTGCATTTCATAAATGGCAAAAATTGATTTGAGACCAGAAAATTTAAAATAGTATTGAGGTCGCCATAACGATAACTTTACGGATCAAGTATTTATTTACAAGCACATTGTCGAAACGCTTACAAACAAGCAAGCAAGGTTCC